AGTGGGCCAGTTCACTGTCCCTCAGACCATTGGAGGGCCGGACTATAGTTTAAAAAAAAAACCTATGAACTGTTTGTTCATAGTTTAAACTATGAACAAATTCCTATGTACACTGCACATATCTTACTTTGAAGTAAAAAAAACAAACGGTCAAAAACACCCACATGTAGCCCACGGGCCGTAGTTTGAGGACGCCTACTATAGGGATTAAATAGTATAACATATATAAACTTCTTAGCATTGTGCCTGGCACAGAATTAACATTCAGTAAGGTGTAACTGTTAATATGCTCATCATTTAATATCGTATCACTTTGGAGTTGAGGGAAAGGAGATGGTGGGAGGTAATGGGATGGATTTGTAGTCCTTGGATCATCTCTTCTGTTTTAGTTCTGCCACTTGATAGCTGTGCAACTTTGAGAAAATAACATAACCTTTCTGAGCTTCAATGTCTTTGTTTATCAAATAGGTCTAATCATCATCTTAGGAAGACTACATTAAACAATGGCAGCAAAACACCTACTAACAATGAATATTGTTAGTATAAAAGTTTTTAGTATCTAAATTTTTATTTTATTTTATTTCAAAATCTCAGGGGAGTACAAATGTTTCTGTTATTAATACATGGATACCTTGTATAATACTTAAGGCTTTTAGTGTGCTCATCGTTAGAATAATATTCATTGTAACTGACAGGTAAGTTTTTACCCCTTACCCCCTCTCACTCTCCCACCTTCTTGGTTTCCAAAACCCTTTACATCTCTTTGTGCCCATCATTTAGCTCTCAGTTATTACAGAGTATATGTGGTGTTTGTTTTTCTATTCCTGAGATACTTCACTTAGGATAATGGTTTTCAGTTCCATCCAAGTTGCTACAAAAGGTATGTCATTCCCTTTTAAGGCTGAGTAGTACACCATAGTGTGTGTGTGTGTGTGTGTGTATACCACATTTTCTTTATCTACTCATGAATTGATGGGCACTTAAGCTCATTCCATATCTTTGCAATTGTGAACTGGGCAACAATAAACATTCACGTGTAGGTGTCTTTTTGATAAAATGACTTCTTTTCCTTTGGGTAGATACCCCGTAGTGTGATTGCTGGATTGAATGTTAAGTCTACATTTATTTCCTTGAGGAATCTCCATACTGTTTTCCATAGAAATTTTACTAATTTGCAGTAGCACCACTAAGTGTATAAGCATTTCTTTCTCTCTGCATCTATGCCAGCATCTATTGTTTTTTGGCTTTTTAATAATGGCCATTCTGACCAGGAGTAAGGTGGTATCTCTTTGTAGTTTTAATTTGCATTTCCCTGATGATTAGTGATGTTGAGCATTTTATCATATGTATTTTGGCCATTTGTCTATCTTCTTTTTAAAGACTTCTGTTTGTCTCTTGCCCACTTTTTAATGCCCTTGTTTGGATTTTTTTCTTGTTGATTTGTTTGAGTTCTTTGTAGATTATGGGTATTAGACCTTTGTCATATGTATAGCAGAGCTCAAATAGCCAAAGCAATCTTAAGCAAAAAGAACAAATCTGAAGGCATCACATTACCTGACTTCAAATTAAACTATAAGGCTATAGTAACCAAAACAGCATAACACTGGCATAAAAGTAGTAGATTGGAACAGAATAGAGAACCCAGAAATAAAACCATCTACCTACAACCAACTAAGTGATCTTTGACAAAGCAGACAACAACATACACTGGGGAAAGGAAGCTCTCTATTCAATAAATGGTGTGGTGAAAACTAGATAGCCACATGCAGAAGAATGAAATAGGACCACTATCTCTCACTATATATAAAAATTAATTCAAAATGGATAAAAGACGTCAATGTAAGACATGAAACCATAAAAATTCCAGAAGAAAATGTAGGAAAAACTCTTCTAGACATTGGCCTAGGCAAAGAATTTATGAGTAAGACCCCAAAGGCAAATATACCAATAACAAAAATAAATAAATGGGACTTAATTAAATTTAAAAGCTTCTGCACAGCAAAAGAAATAATCAGCCAAGTAAATAGCAATAGTAAATAGTAAAAATCAGCAAAGTAAAACTTACAGAATGGGGGAAAATATTCACAAAGTATATAAAATTTTAGTATAAAATTATGCAGTTTTTATCTGAAACTCAAATTGAGCTGAGCATGCTGTCATGCTGTATTTTTATTTGCTGAATCTGACCAACCTACGGGGGCGCTAGTACATCTTTGTGTGATACCAGAAATATGGTCCGATTAGTTCTGCAGCCCTTGGCTACAGAGGTCAGCTATGTAGAAATTAAGTAGGTCTCTGCTTACTCGCTGCTACTCCCAAATGCTGCCTTCTGCAGTAGCAAATTACATTGTCACAGAGCCTCATAATTAGACAATATCTAGTGGGAAATAGCAACGATCACCACTTTTGGATTCTGTTCTTCAGAAACTGTGTGGCAGTTTGTTCTTCAGAAACTGTTGAAGCAAGTTTTTAACATTTAAGTTCACGGTGAAATGATATTGTTGAAGTTCTGCATATTATATAAGAATGGGTTGACAATATTTCGAATCATTGCCTATTAGAGATGGAAGGGGCTTCAGAGGACACCTTGGCTGCTCCTTTTTGTACCCATAGGGAGCCTGACACCCAGGGAGTTCAGCAGATTTGCACAGGACTGCATTCTGGCTGAGCCTGGGCTGGCATTTCAGCCCCCCTGACTCCAGCTCACCTGGTTTCCCCCTACACGGTTTCTCCTACAGTGTTCCCTATCTAATCCCTGCCATGACTTATTAGAATACACTTTCATGCCGTGACAAGGTAGCATCCGTTTTATTTTCTCTATGTGGCACCTTGCCCAGGATCATTTGGATGTATGGATGTAACTGATAATTTTGTGCACCATGGCGTGTAAACATTGCCATCCACCTGGCCAGTGGTATCTTTAATCATAAACTCATCTCTATTAAAATACTCTTCTATACATTAAATGGAGTCACTTAATGTGACTGTACAAAAATAAGGATCTTATTCCCAGATCCCTCTGATAATGTACATTTTTCTACACTCTTCAAGGTACAATGTCAAAGGTAGATTCTGGTGTGACTTTTATCGTTACAGTTTATTTAGTTATTCTATGTTTTCAATACTTAAGTAAAATTTAAATTATTCTTAGTTCAAAACAAATTCTAAAAATTGTGACTTTTGGAAATTTGAACATTTGAACAATTGGAAGTTTGAACATTGACTTTAACGGTGATGTTAAAGAATAATTATTAATTCTTTAAGTGTGATAATGGTGTTATAGCTATATTTAGAGACACACACTGATATAAATGTGCTCTTAGATTTGCTTCAAAATTATATTGTAGAAGGAGGTAGGATTAAGTAGGAAATAGATAAAACAAAATAGGTCATGAGATAATTATTGAAAGTGGATGGTGGATCTATGATGGTTTCATTATACTATTCTGTTTTTGTATATGCTTGAAATTTTCCACAATAAACAGTTAAAACTATATTCCTTACCCCCAAACTCTAGTCTGATTACATAAAGTTTAAACAAAATTATATCACAGGAAATCAAAGATTTAATGACCATGGTTAAGGCACAGAAATAATAGTTTTCTGAATGTACAAAACTTGTATGTCTGCTTCTTTTTTCCCCCTTTGTATTCTTATGCTTTGAGAGAGTCAATATGTAATAGAAAGAATTTAAATGTTGGGACTCAGAGAACCTAGATTTTATCAAGTCTCTGCCTTATGTTGGTTGTGTGACCTTAGGCAAGATACTTAATCTCTTTGGGTCTCAGTTTTCTCATTATGTAAATGAGAACTTTGTAACGTTTGATTTCATAGGGCATTCAGCTCTAAAATTGTTTGACTTGATATCACACACAGGTTTTCCAAATCTATCAGGAAGCTGGCTCCTGGTGTTTAGCCCTGTATCCCATCTCTGTTAATGGAGCAACGAGCTGTATTCTGAGAACACTGATTTTTTTTTGAAACAAGGTCTCACTCTGTTGCCCAGGGTGATCATAGCTCCCTGTGGCCTCCAACTCCTGGGCTCAAGGGATCCTCTTCCCTCAGCCTCCTGAGTAGCTAGGACTACAGATGTCCACCACCATACCTCGCTAATTTTTTAAAAAAAATCTTTTTAGAGATAGAATCTTGCAATGTTGCTCAGGCTGGTCTTGAACTTCTGGCTTCAAGAGATTCTCTCACCTCAACCTCCCAAAGTGCTGGTATTACAGGCATAAGCCATCATGCCTGGCCTGGGAACAACTGATTTTGACTTGTGAAATATGAGAAATGAGACACCAAAATATTGTATGCTTCCCATCACTCTCCTGTACATGAATTTATTAATTTCTTCTGAAATTAGTGATATTTTAATTGATGTTGCCTGGTTGACAATGAGTTATGGAAATTATTTCTCACTTTGAAAAGTTGAAATTTCTTGGTGTGATGCTAAAATAAACTTAAGATTCAAAGGGCACACCCTCATTTTAGTACTCCATGGTTTTCTATTAAGAGATTACCTATGTACCATTTTATGATTTTATGACCTTCAATTATGTCCTCAGCCTTCTTAATTAATTCTTTTATGTATTCACATGTAGCAGGACATTGTACTCTTTACCAATTTTATTGCTTCTTTTTTGGACTATTTCTATAGAAACAGTCTATAGTTTGACACACATTATATATCCTGTATTTATGCTTTTTTTTTTTTTTTTTTGAGACAGAGTCTCGCTCTGTTGCCTGGGCTAGAGTGATGTGGCATCAGCCTCGCTCAGCAACCTCAAACTCCTGGGCTCAAGCAATCCTTCTGGCTCAGCCTCCTGAGTAGCTGGAATTATAGGCATGTACCACCATGCCCAGCCAATTTTTTCTATATAGTGTTATTTGTCCAGCTAATTTCTTTCTATTTTTAGTAGAGACTGGGTCTCACTCTTGCTCAGGCTGGTCTTGAACTCCTGAGTTCAAGTGATCCATCCACCTTGGCCTCCCAGAGTGCTAGGATTATAGGCGTGAGCCACCACGCCCAAACTTTATGCCTTTTTTTTTAAAACCATAGTGAGACATTTGGATGTGTGAGGCACAGCCCTAACTCACTGTAGGCCTATGTCTTCATAATTTCCACCCAAGTATTAAATTTCACTGTAGTCCTATAATCACTGCAAAACATTTGCTTATGAAAACTATGCATTGGGTACTACTTTACAGTAATACTGAATTTAAAGTGTTATCTCAATGTCACATCAAAATTCATCCATTCAACAAATGTTTAATGAATGTCTTCTAGGTGTGTTAATTTTGAAAAGGGATTTCACAGGAAAGAAGGCTTAGAAGAAATTACCAGAGGACACAGATTTCCAATTTTAAACTGATTTATTCATCAGAAAATGTTACTAAGAGACGCTTACTTATTCATACACACAGTCCTCCTCTTGCATAGATACTTTGAAATTACCATAATTAATTCATAGTCCCAACTCTGGTCCTTGTAAAGTGAAGTGACTATTTCAGTGGAAGCAATCATGGAATATTCTTAATAAATCCATTATCACCTTTCTTTAAAAAAAAAACAAATCCTCTCAGCTTACTCAGTATCTTTGTTATAATCCATTTTATCAATCAGTAGCCTTCTGGACCTGGATTTGTTTGTTTGGTGTCTTTGAAATAGTGATGCTTTTATGCTGAGTCTTTCAGGGCTAGCTTTTGTTTGGTCTTCACTGAGTCATGGGGTCTTCTATCAATCTGTCAGAAGTACTCGACATGATAAGTAATTTGATCCATTCCTTCTTTAGCCAGATGTGTACTCCAGTAAGGAATCTAGGTTCTCAGACGCTGTTTTGTTACCATTCCTTTCTTTCACTGTCATCTCTGACTGATGCATTAGAGCAGGTTCCATTGTTAGCTAACTGTGAACATTCATTCACTCAATAAACATTTTTTTTAACATCCACTGTGTGCTAGACAAGTGCAAGGTGACAAAATAACCTTAGCAGCCCCCATTTCAAAATAACATATTTTTCTTTAGTAACCCTTGGCAGCATATTAACTAATCAGATACTGTGCAGTTCCATTAACACAGTCTGCATTGTCTTGCTCACAGTGTCTTTGGTTGCTTCTTGAGTCTTTCATGAGGGTATTTTCAAGAGGGTTCCCATCAGGCTGCCGGAGAACAATAGGGGAAGATGTATCCAGGGGAGAGTTATAACCAGATTTTTCTCCCTTCTTGGCCAACCCTTTGGAGATCTTTTGTTTCATTGTCTTTTTAATACTCTTTGATGAGGAATGTTTCTTTTCTTTCTTTTTTTTTTTTTTCATTTACACTGAAGGACTATGATGAGGAACATTTCAAAGCCTTTTCAGAGTTAAAAGAATTTAGAGCCACTGGTTTTTCCTTGTTCACATAGTTCTCTAATGCTTCACAAAACTTGTTTATGCAAAGGAGGGCTTGATTTCCTATTTCAAAACTCAATTGCTTTCTTCCAAGAGCCTTTCCTGACCGTTACCTTCTGAAGTATGTAGAGCTAGGCTGTGTCTCTTTGGATATGCCCGTCTCTGCAGATTTCAAGGTGGTGGTTTGCCATGCAACTTCAGTTCTTTGATGGGTCCGGGGAAAGTCAGCGATTTTCAATTTAGCTGGCGTTTCCTTGTTGTAAGTGGCAGTGATGACTTACAGGCTCCTTGCATGGTCAGGCTCAAAGCAGAAATTGGTCATGGCTTTTTCGTTTTAAATTTTTATAATAATATATCTGTTATTATTAAAAGTTTGGACCAGGATGCAGAGCTTCAAAGTGTGAAATTACAGTGCCCAGTTGTCTACACATCTTGCATACTTTCTTTATGATTCCTTTTTAGTATATAAAGCAGACTTTTTGTTAAACTATTTAAACAGTCTAATATACACACCACATAGAAATGTGCCAAATCCTAAGTGCACAGAGCAATGAATTTTCACAAACTGAAAGTCACTTGTACAACTAGCACCCAGATTAAGAAACAGAATATTACCATCGGTCCCAGAAACACCTCTCCAGCCCCTTTCAACTGCCCTTTCAACCTTGCTAATTGCCCACATCCCCAAAAGATATCCATTATTCTGGCTTCTCACAGCATAAACTATTTTGGCTTGCTTTTGAACTTCTTATAATTGGAGTCGTACAACATGTGCTCTTTCACATCTGACTTGTTTGGTTTAAGGTTATTTTTTTTAGATGAATCTGCATTATTGTAGGTAGTTGTAGATTGTTCACTCTCATTGCTCATTGTGACAATTTATTTTTTCATTCTACAGTGGATGAAGATTAGCATAGTTTCCAGGACTGCTGAAACTTTCCAATACACAGCTTTTGGTGAACACGACGTATATGTGTTTTTCTTAGGTGTATGCCTAGGAGGAATCTAATGGCCTGCTTTCAGCTTTCACAGACACTAAAAAGCAATTTTCTGAAGTGTCTGTACCCATCCTCCCTTAATCCCTCGTCCCTTTACCCCCACCAACACCACCTGGAGTATATGAAATTTCTGGGTTTGTCACATCCTCATCAACATTTGATATTTCACATCATTTTTCCTTCTGCTCTTCTGGAGCATATAGTGGTGTTTCATTGTGGTTTTAATTTTATTTTCCCTGGTGGGGAATAAAATTGAGCATCTTTTTATGGTTACTGGCCATTTGAAAATGCTAATTTATTATGAAGAATTTTTAATCAAGTCTATCTTCCTAACTAAACTGTGAGTTCTTTCTAGGCAGGATTCATATCATTACCTTTGCATCTCTCAAAATCTGCCATGATTTTATTCTAATATTTCTTTCACCCAGCATTGCATAGACTGCTGCTTAACTGAATGAATGCATAGAACATGTAGGGCTCTCAACTTTTATATCTCGAGCTATTCCTGGTAACCACCCCAAGGATTATTCCTGGAGAATCAAGTATGCAAGTTTTAGATTTTAAGCATTTTTTAAAATCTTAATAAATATTTACTCAGTGCCTAGTATATATCGGGTACTGTGTAAGGCTGTGTTGGCAGAGGGTTTGTGGGTGAATCAGAGACAATTCCTTTACTCAGGGAACAACTAGACCATGTGCCAGCCTAGATTAAGTGCTGGTTTTGAATGAGCCCTCCTTTAATATAAGATCTTGATGTCTATTCCCGCACCTTTCTGGTGCAATTGGAGGGGAAGAAGCCGATATATAGTCCTTTAAGCATGTGAACGTGGAAACCACTTTGAAATTTAGTCTTGAGAGATTTCTGCCTCGTAATTTTGTCAAAGGAAAAAATAAAGATTTTTCACTGAAATTTTTTCTCCAAAAGTGCTATAAAGTGTGTTTTGGAGATGAAAATATCCAGTTACTTGGTTCGTAATTTCTCAGGTATCCTGGACTGTCTCAAGTGTCAGTGTGGGTTTTATTAAAGAAACCCTCTTCCCCATCTGGCATAGCTTTATTATGCTCTATAATGACACAACTGTGACCTCCACCCTGAGGACACACTCTTCTTGGCACTAACTGTGACACCCAGAGATTTCATTTTGCCTCAGACACTTTCCCATTTTCCTCCTGCATCTGTGAAAAACTCCTCTCTGGGTTCAGATACTTCATGCAGTAGGCTTACACGTTGGAAAAAATGACTTTCAGACTGTGGACAGGCACTTCCCAAAGGAAGAATATTGTAACTGTGAAGGTGATGGCACCAAGCCTATTTTTTCGTGGTGCTTAGTGGGAGACCTCATTGTGCGCTTAATTTATTTTTTTAAAGAATATCTTCATTCTGCTTTTTTTTTTCTTTTCCTAATCAACTTCTGCTAAAGAGAGTAAGGAGAAAAATGAACTCTTCTGTGGAGCAACTATATATATTTAGTACCTAGCCTATAAATGTTGGCTGTTGTTTTTTTTAAATATTCAAAATGATTCAAAACTTTTTACCTATTGAAGATGAGGTCACATGGGTATCTCAAGAGTAATGACAATTCATGTGCCAGTTCCTTCCCCCTGTGCTCTGTGAAGTGATAAATGCTTCACAGCTCATGTTTCATTGAAAGTTGTTCCTGTAAACTATTTTAGGATTTCTGGCCTCATGCACTTTCCCTCAATTATAGTTAAGAGTCCCTGGAAGGTTTCTATATACTGTGGAGCCTGTCTATATACTTGAGCCTGTCCTAGCAGCCACGGCATGGCAGCAGAATTTTCTTCGTTTTCCACCCTGGTTCCGGTTCCAGTGACTCTGCTGCTAATGACCCTGATGTCCACAGAAGAATGGTTTCTGCAGGCCGCCCCTACCCCTCCACCTCCTCACCATGACCATGCGGACCAAGCTAATGCTGAAATGCTCAGGGCATCCAAGGCCTGTGTGTTCCCCTGGGACCTTAGTGTGTTAAGGTCATCCTCTGATTCATGCAGAAGTAGGGAGAATACTTCTCTGCTCACTTCAGTGTTAACCTTTATCAAGTATGTCCCCAAGCAACACACCTTATGCCTCAGTGTGTCATTGGGTTTCTAATGAGGGAGCGCTTTCATTTTCCATCTGTTGCCCCTATCCCCAGAGTCCTGGTTGGGAGACATATGCAAATGACCAGCACCACACTGCACTCAGAATCATCTCCCCCTTCTGGTGACCAAGGTGTTGTTCCTGATTTAGGCTTGTCTCCTCTACTCTCCTTTCCCTCCTTCCTTCATGAGGGCTTACCCTCCAGTTCTTTGACAGACATGTCCATTTTCAGTCATGCTCGAAGCTTCTGTAGGCATGTTCTGAGACTTCACCACCACTACTGCCCCCTAAACCCTGCCCACCTGCCACAGCATTTATTTGTGAGGTTCCTATATTTGCCAGTAAATACAGCTATGTAGGAAACATTTCCAGTTAGCCAGTATCCAAACCAATAAAGCTTACATTTTTTACTTTGTGTTCATAAGCTCCTCTGCTTAGTTTCTGAGATTTTAAACTATTTTGCTACTTTTTCAAACCTTCTGCTTGCTTATTTTTTCTTGGCTGTATTTGCTTTTTCCTCACCCTCTTTGACTGCAAATACCCACATAGCATTGTCCCTGAGTCCTTGTTCTTCTACTCTGGCCTGCCCCCTTCGACACCATACATATTACTTTGATTACCACTAGGTCAGTTCTCTTTAGGTTTGTCATGGATTTTTACTTTTTTTTTTTTTTGGTCTAGTCACTGAATGTTTTTCAAGACACTGCTATATGCCAAGCACTGTAGTGATGATGAATATGCTTCTGAGTATACTCTTGAGGAAGGCAGAAAAGAAAGTAGGTGATAATATAATGGTGATTTAAGATAGCACTATGTAAAGTCATGAAAGGAGCAGCTATGAGGGATGACAGCCTTAACGGGTAAGAAAAGTGGTCTTGCATTGCTATTGTTTTTCGTTGGCTCAGCACTCCTTTATTTATCACCTTCTCCTGGTAACAACCTCTGACACACGATCATGATTGAGCTAATAATTCCACTTCATTCTCCTTCCCACAATAATAAGTACAGGGATAGACATATGAACTTAGCTTGGCCAACTGAAGACATTCCCCCAGAATTTTCCTAAGAATTCTCCTTCCTTTCTGGTCCAGGGACAGTCGTCTGCAGTTTTGTTGCCACCACCTGAAGAAATGGAGCCATTATATTATGGAAATGGGAAAGGGAGACAGGGTCTCTGCAGGGAGAGAGATCTGGTAACAGGTGTGTCACTAAATAGGGCCATGCCTGAAGCTAGCTCCATCACCATTCCTTGTGTCGATATATACCCCCCCTTTTTGTTTTTGGTTTAAGTTGGTTCTGGTTTTGTTTAAGTTGGATGGTTTGGGATTTCAGTCAGCTGCAACTAAAAGAGATGTGATTTGAATGTTTCCCAGTGGAAGTGATGTCAGAGTCGAGTGTTGAGGAGGAGAAGAGTATCACAGAGAGGGGAAGCACTTTCAGCAAAGGCTGCAACAAGATGGAAACATGAAAAGTGAGGACATTAATGGAGGGTAAGGGACCTTGCTGCAGGGATGTCAGGGAATCATTTCCAGAGGAGGTCAAGCAGAGGAGCTTGGAACATTTCTCTGAAGACAATAATAAAATAATGCATTTTAGGAAGATGGCTTTGGTACCATCATCTTTTTTTCACTCAAGCACATTTGGAGAATGACTTCGAATGGGAGAAAAACGAAGGCAAAGAGAAAAGCTAAACAACTCGTGTGTTACTCTAGTCAGAAATGATAAAGATCTGAATTGAGACAGTGGTCCTCAGAGAAAATGAGTAGGTTCAGGAGAGAATAAAACTAACAGGGAGAGCTCAGGCTGTCCTGCGGATGAAGGAGCCATTCCACTGAGATGGGGACCGCCAGAGATGGAGAGAGTCTGGCCAGAAGATGAGGCATTTGCCCAGAGTGCCTGGAAGCTCAAGCAATCCTTATGTCACTGCCAGATGAATCTTAATAAAACACTATTTGTCAAGGTATTTCTTCATCTATGAAAAGAATTTGCAGGGAGGATAGGTTTAGATTAGTTGATCTTTAAGATTTCTTCAAGTGATTTTTTTTTTTAAGGAATTGATTATATGCCACTGTTAAGGAATCTGTGCAAAGGTTCAGATTCTAACCTCTCTCTCTGGATTCTAAGCCTTCTATTTTGATCTGGCCTCTCTGTGCCTCTCTAATCTTGTTTATAGAAGCCTTCCACGCTACACTCACTGCTGTAGAGAGAGCAGTGCCTTCCATGCTCCCACATATGCTGAGTTTATAACACTCCCTTGTCTGGAAGCCCCTCTCCATCTCTTTCTTTATCCTTTGTGTTGGCTCCGCAAGTCCTGCATTCTGCTGGGATGCCTTCCTTCTCCTTCCTGCACTCTGTACTATGGCCCTCGTGTAACTTCTCCTGGTTTTGTTTAAGTTGGATGGTTTGGGATTTCAACCATGTCCAACCATGGTTTGGAACATCCACTTGTACTCAACTCCTATGGAATGAGATTGATTATACATATTCTCTATAATTCAGAGCTCTGATTATTTCAAATGTTAGTTTGCTTTCTTACCTCAACCTAGTACTCCTTAAGGGTGTTTGGTGTCTGGAACGGCACTGGATGGATTGTAGAAGCATCGGATAAACCAGTTATGTGTGATCTTCACGTCTGCTGGAATCTTCCCTCACCTCCACATTGTGGACAAAATTCAGCTCATACATCCTTTGAAATGCAGTTCAGATTCTCATCTGTAAAGCTAAGCCCCAGACTGAGCTGAATTGTTTACTTCTTCTAATACATATAAAATACATAATATATAACATATATTTGAATATTTGTACATATTTTAGTCATAATATTTCTCAAGTCATATGAAGCAGCATCTCCAATAATACACCTTAGAGGCAAACAGGTTTATTTTAATATGCTTATCCCACCATGCCCAGTACAATTATTACTTGACCCTCGGAAAGGTTTTTGCAGAGAAGAGGATCTCATATCTGTGTCCATGGAGTCCCATTAGCACGTTGCAGCATGAGGAGAAGGTTGAGCTCATCCAGGGAATAAGCCCGTCAGCTGACAGAGAGCAGGTGATGAGATCTCTCACCAGATTAAAAAGGGAAGGGCAGCAACTCATTAGGAAACACAGAGATGTCTGCTTAATTACTTGAAAAATGTCTGAGCCAGTACATTTTATGGCACCTGGAGGGTATAAACATGCCCATAAATTTAATTAATTTTCTTTCTTCTTTCATTGCACCTGTATGGCCTAAAGGAAAAGAAGTCTAATGAAAGTACAATCAAGCACTTCTGCCGGACTTCCACAGTTCATTTGGGCAATATTCAGAAAATGAAATACTGAATTTTCCATCAATATATGGGGAGAAATGTATTTGGGAAAATGCAGCCCAACAGTGAAATTATTTCCGTGTCAAACTCTGATCAATGGCTCCTTCAGCTTTATTTCCAAAAAGAGCTTAAATCTCTTTATAGATATATTAAAATATATTTAATACTCATAAATCTCTAAGGAGAAAAATCAGAACTAGATATCATTGTTTTCCTGGAGGAAAGCGTCATGTGAGAACTGGAAAGCTTAGGGGAATTGGTCAAATCCATAAAGCAAATAACCTCATTTGCTACCTATTGCAGTAACGTAACACATTTTTGTTAAAAATACTCTTTAAATCTATGATATTACTGTTTTATCAAAAGTAAGCTTAATAGTAATGAATATGCTTGAATATCCATGGTGATATTATGTCATTTAGTGAGTGCTTCCTGTCTGCCAGACACTGTACCAGTACTTTACATATCTTATCTTGAATCCTTACAACAACATTTCAAGGAAAGTCATCCCCCATTTGAGATGATGTCTAGTGAAATGAAGGGACTTATCCAAGGTCACATAGCTAGAAAGTGTTGAAGCTAGGGTTCAAATCCAGGTCTTCTGGGCCCCGAAATCTGTGCTCACTTAAATTTGTTGTACGGACAGTGATGTCAAGCCATTTTTTTCTCTTGTTAATTCAGTGTCATTGAACATATGAAAAGTTTATAACATGTCTTGCATTCTTAAAAGAATCTTGACATTATTGAGCTTTGAATAGTGAATTATTCCTTGGAGCTTCTGGACATAGCCTGAAAAAATCTGCCCTCCCAAGAACTTACAGAGGAAAACTGCAGCTGTGTATGATTCTATTTAACCTAAAATATACTTGCCTGCATCCAGTTAGTCCTACAGCAAGCAGAAGGGGCTTCTGTGGTTTAAGAGAAAGAGGAAACAACTTATTGAGCACCTACTATGTGCCCATGATATACCCAACCTCTTGCATATATTGACTCACTTGAGGTATGTATGTGAAGGAGCTGACCATTCAGAAGCCTGTTATCAAGCAGTGCTCATTGTGAACATCCCAGGGCAATGCTACCAGTCCTCTTGCAATTCTGCTTTTAAAAGACACAGTGGTGAATGCCAAGATTCACAGCTGAACATATTCTGGGGTGATTTGAAAATTGCTGCTAGATAAAAGTGAAATGAAATATTTTTATTTTAGCTGTTAAATTCCTCATTCTGTCATGAAATACCATAGTTAGTGCTGTTTTCAGTTTTAATCTCTTGTAAACTCATTGACTGTTAATGTTTAGTGGGCTCATAAACTAATTTGAATCGATCTGATTTTGCACAATCAAGCCCATTACACTTGCTTCAATTTTTTGCATCAGGGCTTTAACATCTGGAAGCTATGAAAAGCACAACAGCCTGTCTAAAGAGACTCTCATAAGAAATCATGTTAGAGGGCATATTATTAAGACCTGGCTAACCATCAGCACTCCAGCTCTAGCCATGCTGTCTCTGTTTCTATATTCCACATCACAGATGGGAGCAGACAGAGGGATGGAGCATGCATGGAAGACTGCTCCCAAAATCCTACATGGGAATTGCTTTGCCCAAAACAGATTCTTCTCTAGTTACCTACTAAGCTCTCCCCACTTGATTTATCCTAGGCCAGTTACTAAATTAGTTATGACTAGTTCCTCATTGATACTTTGGATCTAATTAGGTCTAACTGACAAACTCCTGTGGCAGAATCAGAGACATTTTCGTATTCAAGATTCTGAACATACTGATGCATACATCGGTATGGCTCTATGCCTTTGTGCTTTTCTAATCATTATTCTTTGAAGAAGCTAGTAAACAAGTAATTTTGCCTTTGAAAGTGCAACATTTTAAAAAGAGCCAGCCTGTGATTTTATGCCAGCCATAGCAAGGGGGAATTAAGGCACCAAATTCATTCACATTTTTGCATGCATTTTTAACCTTGATTTAGATTAACATATGTTTGTGCTTCTTGGCATTTTAAATATATCCTCTCTATGTGGTATCGGCTTTTGTGCATATGCATGGCATAGAGGTTGAGGGAATAATATCTGAAGTCAACTATCTGCCAAATCTTGGCTTCACCGCTTAGCTGTGTGACCTTAGCCAAAGTTTCTAAACCTCTGTCAGCCTCAGTTTTCTCATCTGTCAGGATTACATCTTACAAGATAGTTGTAAGCATTAAAGGAGTTAAAACAATGTTTGGAACAAAGTAAGCGCTTAATAAATCTTTATCATTATAACACTATGTTTTTTTTTGTTTTTTTTTTGAGACAGAGTCTCACTTTGTTGCCCAGGCTAGAGTGAGTGCCGTGGCGTCAGCCTGGCTCACAGCAACCTCAAACTCCTGGGTTCAAGCAATCCTGCTGCCTCAGCCTCCCAAGTAGCTGGGACTACAGGCATGCGCCACTATGCCTGGCTAATTTTTTTTTCTCTATATATTAGTTGGCCAATTAATTTTCTTTCTATTTATAGTAGAGACGGGGTCTCACTCTTGCTCAGGCTGGTTTCGAACTCCTGACCATGAGCAATCCACCCCCCCTCGGCCTCCCAGAGTGCTAGGATTACAGGCGTGAGCCACCGTGCCCGGCCAACACTATGTATTTTTAACGTATTCTAATAGCATTTTTATTCAGAACCAGGCACTTATTGTGGGAAAAATAAAAATATAGAAAATGAGTAAAAATCATATGTATTTCTCTTCACACCGCTAAGAGGTAATTTAGGTTACCATTTTGATGTGTTTCGTTCCAATCATTTTTTTTACTTAATTAAACTTTTCCATTTATTATCAACGCAACCTTGAGCAAATCGCTTAACTTTTCTAAGCCTCGTTAACTTGTGTGTAAAATAAAGGTAATTATAGCACCTACATCATAGAGCTATTGTGAGGATTAATTGAGGTACCCCATGTAAATTGCCTAGCCCAGTACTTGGCCTATATTTAGGTTAAACCACATGAAATTCACCATTTTGGACCTATGAAAAAAGACATTTTCATACAGTTCAACCTAATGAGGAGAGCTCAATATATATTAGCTTTTATGATAAGGCTGTACAGGGCTATGACGGTACAGAGAGGACCTCAGCCCATAGGAACGCCACACTCCTGTAATCAAGAAAACATTTCTTTAAAAAGAAATAAGCAAGCAAACACCTATAAGACAGAGCTGATACATGCCCCAGCAAAGGCATAGGTTAGGTGTTGGAAGATTCCGAGGGAGGTGGACTAGCACTAGGAGTCAGGGTGGCTATGTGATGGAGGTGACCTCTGAGCCTGGCACTGAGATGCGCCTACCGAAATGCAAGGAAGGGCTTTCTAGGTAGAGGGAACATTTGAAGCAAAGAAAGAGCTTACAGGCACAGCGTGTAATTCATTTGGTTAGACATAGGATGCATTAGGACTGGGGATAGAAGCCAAAGTCTGTGTGTGTCAGCAATGAGCAAAGCACCTTGGCCCTGGAGGGCACCTAGGACGTCTTCAAACCAGTAGGCAAATTAAGGGGCTATGCACTCTGTTCAAGAAGCAAGGAGAGTGGGGCATTTTTGAGAAAGGAAGTGCAATTGTCAGTGCCATCCTTTGGGAAGCTGAGATGGGGAAATATGTATCTCTGGAAACTTGAAATGAAGCTCTTAGAGGCAAAGAGACTTCTGCCTGTCCAGGGTCCTGCCAAGCTCTCCGGCCTCATCTTTAACCTTTCCCTCCCTCTGCCCCCACCCCAAGGTCTAACTTTGCTTAACTTATTTTGGTTCCTTCACCTTGCTGAGCTTTGTGTCTCAATTTTCATACACATGGTTGCATCTGCCTTGAATCCCCTTCTCCTCACCACTTGGGTAACTCCTGCTCATCTTTCATCTCAGTCGATGCCCCTCTTCTTGCAGGAGGTCTTCCCTGACTCGCTGTCACCCAGCGTGTCTGGATTGCATCCCTCCTGGGGACTCCATAGCACCCTGTACTTCCCATATGCTAGCACGTCCTGCATTTCATCTTAGCTGTGTGTTGCTTTGTACCTGCCTCCTAACCATTTCAGACTGAAAGTTCTGGCACAGTGAGGACTACATAACTTACTGGTTAAAAGTAGGGATTGAGAGATATGTATAAACCTGGTTCTCTATCCTGATTCTGCCATTTAGTACTTCAGTGACTTTGGATGAGTTATTTTATGTAGCTAACTCTCAATATCCTTGTCTGTACAATGGAAATAATAACAGAGCCTAACTTTAGGGTTGGTGTGAGAATTAAATATGGTAGCGTAGGTAAAGTCCTTAGCACAGTGCCTAGAATGTAATTAAAACATCATGGGTACTTATTAAAACTTTGCTGCTAGAAGTCATAATTGTACCCCTAGAGTGTTCCACAGCTGTGCACTGCCAGGCACATAATAGGTGTGCCAAATATTGGATGATTGAAACAATGCTCATTGAAATGAAGAAGATGTAAGTATGAAAAATGTATTAGAGATAAGAGCTAATGGAACTTGGTAACTTACCTAATTTAGAAGAGAGGGAAATGGGAGAGGGCAGACCCCATTTAGGGGCTGAGCCTGTGAAATGGGAGGAGCAGTGATGCTTTTTGGAATAGGAGCAAAGTTGGTGAGTGAGAAAAGATGGTCGATTCAGAACTCAAGCTCAACATTTAGTCCTGGAGCGCAGGAAGGAAATAGTAGATGTGATATAGGCATGAGTTTCATTTTAAGAAGGGAGGTTCTTGAGCCAGTGCTGTTCTAACTTTAGTGTGCATTGGAGTAATTCAGGGAGGATGTTTAAAGGCAAGCCTCTGAGTATTGTCTCTATAGATGCTGTTCAGTAGTTAGGTCTGTGAGGAAGCACGGGAATATGCATTTCGATACGTAGTTTAGATGATTCTGCTGTGACTTTGGACATTTGTTCTGAGTTTCAGTTCCTGCTCTGTTAAATGGGAATAACATCTACCTTTTATAAGGTGAAAAGGAGGAGAGAACATGCAAGGAAAACAGCTTATGAAATAGATAGTCCATAATGAGGCTATCAATAGATTGGAAATTGTGTGTGTGTGTGCGTGTGTGTGTGTGTGTGTGTGTGTGTGTGTGTGCATGCATACATGAAGGCTGTGTAAGGTGAGGAAATAAAGAGTTTCTGGAAGAAAGTATGGTATCCCGTGAGTATCACAAGTTGGTAAAGGAAGGAGAAAAATGATAGAAGGCTAATGAGTTTGATAAACAGAAGTTGTAAATGAGAGAATTGTGTTCATGGACAAAAGACTAGGCAGGGGTCCTCAAACTTTTTAAACAGGGAGCAGTTCACTGTCCCTCAGACCGTTGGAGGGCCAATGGAGAGTGCAGCGCACATTCCACACATGCGCACTGTGGGCCCAGGACAAGTCGGCTGCTAAGCAGGACAGGCAACAGCAGCAAAAACACCCAGCAGGCTGGATAAATGTCCTTGGCGGGCCCCATGTGGCCCGCAGGCCGTAGTTCGAGGACTCCTGGACTAGGGCATGAGGAGGTTGGGAGGATGCTAATGGTTGTCCCTTACTGTTTCAAGAATTGAATACTTAATGAAATGGAAAAACATTAATGACATGTTTTTAAGTAAAATATAGTATAAATGAGAATGATCTTATTTTTTGTTATATTTAAATCGTGTATTATGGGCCTTTTCCTTAATTATATTTACTAATTTTTATATAATTAACATATTGGTTTTATAACAAAAATAAATAAAAATTGTTCTTGAATTTTCTGAGTGGAATGAAAAAGAAAATGGTATCTTTGAGGATAACAGAACTGCGAGAGGAAGGTTTGTTTTTGTTTTTTTTTTCCTTAAGGTCAGAGAACATTTTTGCTTGCTTGTTAGATAAGGTAAAGGTGTAGTGAGGTGAGGCTAAAATCCTGGAAGAATCGATCTGGAATTGTGTCAGATTGAGGGGTGATCATTTGAATGGAGATGGGGGGAGTCATTTCATGAAGGAATAGGGAGAGAACTGGTGGAAGTAATAATGACAGCTTGAGGAATAACAGTATTATCTTTTACATGGGAATTTTGAAAATTCTAGTTCTATTGTTTTAAGATGTTTTTATTAGGGAAA